GGAGCACTCCTTCCTTCGCAGACAGTCCCTTGCTTGCCGTCCACAGGTGATGTGTGGTGCTGGGCCCCTGCTCATGAGACCTAGACTCCTTTGGGGATCTCATCCCCTCCCCCCCAGGGCTGCAACCATCACCCAGCATGCTGCTGGGCCCCAATCTCAACCTCCAACCTGACCTTTTGCTGAGCTCCAGAGCTTGACCTTCCCCACATAGGCTCCTCAAATGCAGCAGGTTAAAACTAAATTCCTTCCGTCCACATTCACTTTCTGAAGAAGAAAGCCGACCTTAAACCCTTTAGCACTATTGCACGGCCTCCATAATAGAGTGTGGGCTTGGGAATTCACATACAATGCTACTTGCCATTTGGTCCTCTGAATGGGCACCGTCCTTTGAGAGAGGACCCGACCCCCCAGCCAGCCAGCCGTTCCCTCCCCAGGCATGGAGCAGCCACTGTGTGATGGCCCAGTTCTGGGGATACTCAAGACCTTCACAGTCCCTGCCATCACGGAGCCGATGGCTAGACCGTACTGAGTAAGGACTCTGAAGTGCACTGAGGGTTACAAACAGGGAAGTGCGGGGCCGCACAGCACGGGGAGACCTCCAGGCATCTGGAAGTACCTCCCTGATGAAGTCCCATTTAAAGTGTCCTCTCATGGGGGCCGGCCCCGTGGCCGAGTGGTGAAGTTTGCGCGCTCCGCATCGGCAGCCCAGGGTTTCGCCGGTTCGAATCCTGGGCACAGACATAGCACCACTCATCAGGCCATGCTGAGGCGGCGTCCCACATGCCACAACTAGAAGAACCCACAACGAAAATACACAACTATGTACCAGGGGGCTTTGGGGAGAAAAAGGGAAAATAAAATCTTTAAAGTGTCCTTTGAAGGATGGGGGAGTGGTTAGCCATGTGGGCAAAGGCTCTGAGACAACACTAGGATGTGCTTAGGGAACTGAAAGAAGCCTCGCACGGCCGGGCCCGTGGGTGGAGGGCTGTAGGGGCCTACTGTGGAGTCGGATGTCCCTGCCTCAAGGCACTGGGGCACGCACAGCTGTACCTGTAGAAGGCCGCTCTGGCCGTCATGGCGAGACGAGCCCGAAGAGAACCTCTACAGAGTACCAGCAAACTGAAGCCAGCAGCCTAGTGTGACGATTATACCCCATGACCAAGCGGCATTTATCCCAGAATGCAAGGGGGTGTATGGGTTTTCCACGGCTGCAGTAACAAAGTGCCACAAACCAGGGGGCTTAAACCAAACAGATACATTCCCTCCCAGTGCTGGAGGCCAGAAGTCCAAGATCAAGGTGTGGGCAGGGTTGGCTCCTTCTGGAGGCTCTGAGGGAGCAGCTGTCCCAGGCCTCTCTCCTGGCTCAGGTGGTGGCCGCAGTCCTTGGCATTCCTTGGCTTGTAGCTGCATCACTCCAGTCTCTGCCTTCATGGTCACATGGCCACCTTCCCTCTGTGCGTGTCTGTGTCTCTACATGGCCTTCTTACAAGGACACCAGTCATTGGATTTAGAGCCTACTCTAATCCAGTATGACCTCATCTTAACTGATTACATCTGTAAAGACCCTATTTCCCAATAAGGACATATTCTGAAGTTCCAGATGGACATGAATTTTGGGGAGACATTATTCAACCCACTATAGTGGTCAGCATACAAAAATCAGTGTAATACACATGAACGGGATGAAGGAGAAAAAACCCACATGATCATCTCAATTGATGCAGAAAAGGACTTTGAAAATACCCTTTCATGATAAAAACACTCAACAAGCTAAGAACAGAAGGGACCTTCCTTAACCTGACAAGGGTATCTATGAAAAACCCGCAGCTAATATACCAAATGGAGAAAACTGAAAGCTTTCCCCTGAGATTAGGAAAAAGACAAGGATGCCCACTTTCACCACTCTTCCATTCAACATTGTACTAGAGGTTCTTGCCAGGGAATGAGGCAAGAAGAAGAAATAAAAGGCATCCCCAGATAGGAAAAGAAGTAAAACTGCCTCTACTTGAGGATGATGTGATACTATACACAGAAGAGCTAATAGGGACATGGACAGGTAAATACCCTTGTCTGTTTCCTGGACACATCCACTGCTATAGTTCAAATCATTCTAGACATGCAATCTGGCGTCCTGCTTCTGTCTCTTCCGCACAGAATGAAACACAATGAACTGCCCTTGCACTGCTGATGTTTAGAAGACGGCCTCTGTGAATAGAGCTTTTCTCCTGTTTTCTATCTCCTCAGGATAGTAAGACAGTGGTGACAGGAAGTATGCAAAGGTGTAGAAAGACTGATGTGGGGAGTGAGGGGAACTGACTAATGAAGGATGACTCCTCGTGGCAGGCCAGAAAATGCTCCCCCAAAAGATGTCCACATCAAATCCCTGGCAACTGTGAAGGTGACCTTTTTTTGGAAAAAGGGTCTCTGCAGGTGTCATTAAGTTAAGGATCCTGAGAGCAAGAGAGCATCCTGGATTATCTTGAGTGGGCCCTCAATGCCATCACAAGTATCCTCAGATGAAAGAGGAGGAGGAGTCAACGCAGAGATACATAGAGGAGAAGGCCATGTGCAGACCGAGGCAGAATTGGGGCCCTGTGGCTACATGCCCAGGACAGCCAGCAGAAGCTGGAAGAGGCAAGGAACGGGAGTCCTTAGAGGGAGCAGAGCCCTGCAAGATTTCAGACTTCTGGACTCCAGAACTGTGAGAGAATGAATTTGTGTTGTTTTAAGCCAACCAGTTTGTGGTAATTTGTATAGCTGCCTCAGGAAACTCATACACTGCCCATCTTCCTCCCCACCCTGTTCCTCTCCCATCCTCCCTGTCTCAGTAACCGACACCACCCTTCGCCTGCCAGGCCTGACACCCGGGGGGCGAGCTTATCAGCATCCAGTACTGAATGCTGAGGATGCACCTAGCCCTGTGAGGTCCCTTATGTGCATTCTTCCTTAAGCCTTTAATCTTTAAGCCCTCTACATGGGACAGTGCTGTTATCCCCCATTTTACAGAAGAGGAACCTGAGGCTTATGGAGAGGTTAAGTAACTTGCTCAGGGTTCTACGCAGCACCAAGTGGCAGAACCTGGAGGAAAGCCCAGGCGTAAAAAGCCGAGGGTTCTCACTACCCTGCCTCTCAGGCCAGTTTGCATACGCTGAGGTTGTTGCCTGGGAGACAGCCAGAGATGTCAACCGGACAATGGGATAGAAACTCCATCTTGTCCTCAGGAGGAATAAAGTTGGGATAGAAACTTGGGTGTCAAACTCAACACATAGTGTCTAAAGTCATAGCATGGGAGATGGCCCAGCAAGATTGTGCAAAGTAGAAAAGAGGACCCCAGCCTGAGTTGGAGGAGCACTGTCATTTGAAGGTTGGCAAGAGGGAGAGGATCCAGTGAAGGAGACCAAGCTGGCCAGGCCAGAGAGAGAGAGAAATCCAGGCGGGGAGATGTCACGAAAGTCAAGAGAATGGAAGGGTCCACTCCAAGGTCAGAACCAATGACAGCTAACCTGAACCAGATGCTTCCTCAGAGAGGCGCTGCCCTAGGCCCTCCAGCGTTTCCTCATTTACCCTTCACATCCACTCCAGGAAGTAAGTCCGATGTCATTCCCATTTTAGAGATGAGGCAATCGTGGTCTAGAGAGATGAGGTAGCTGCCCAGGGTCATGCAGCAGACAACCAGGGTCCTTCTCCGCTCTCTCAGAGCATGCTTCGTTTCTCCGCGCCACAGGGCTAGCCACTTGGCAGCTGTGCAACTGCTTGTTCAATATGCATCTCTCCCCAGAGGCGAGCAAGTGCCTGGCACAGAGCAGGCACTCCGGGACTGCGGGAAGATGGTGGGCCTGAAGTATAAGGTAGTGGCTGCTCTTGAGAGTGAGGCAGGGGAGGGAGCAGGTTGGCTTTTTGGAGACTGTGGATGGACTACTCACCGGGGAGAGGTACAAGCTGCCAGCACAAAGAAAGCCTCCCAAGCACTGCTGAAGGCCCCGGGGCGGGGGGCTTGGGGACCACGCCCCGAGACGGCTTCCTTCTGGCCATCCCTGGGAGTGAGGTGCTCAGGCACACTGGTGCATAGGTACTCAGCGAGCTGGCTCAGAGACCCCGCCTGACTCTTCCTGCTAACCATGCAAAGCCAGCTCCAAGGCCACCTCCTCCGTGAAGGCTTGCCCAACTGCACGAGCAGAGCTCTCGCGGCTCCCCCAGCACACTGAGCTGACACCCCCATACAGGGCACCCCACTGGGCCTGTCGCGGTATATCCCCAGCAGGTGCTCATTACAGGTTTGTTACCCAAGTGGCATTTTACAAGTAGGCATGAGATGGGAATGGTTGTCACCTTTCTGATACCTGAAATTACTTGCAGGGAGGGCCAAGTCTTCTGTCTGCCAAATGCCCGCTTGCAGTCCACACAGTTGGAAAGTCATTCATGAGAAACAGAAATGACTCAGTTCAGAGCCCTTTCTATTTGGATAGCGGGTACTGGAGGCTTGTCCTCATAGCCGTCACTAGGTATGAAGGACCCTATCCCCTTCAGCTAGTGGGGACCAAATGGGAGCTGTCTGCAGATACTGCTGCTCCATGTAATTTATGGAAACTTTGTACATTTGCCTAGTTTCATGTAGTTGACTCCATTCTAACAGAGCTTCAGACCAGATACGAATTAACCGAGTAATCACCATATTCCATAGGTTACAGGGACTTCCAAGGGCCTCACAATCATTTCATTAAAATACTTGATTCTTTAGGTGATAATTCTCTTTCTGGCTCTTTGCTAAATTGATTGAGTAGACAGGATTGTGCAGAAGCAATGAGAGAGACAAGATTTCAACCCACGAGACACTGCACACAACCCACGGGCTATACACCAGGGAGATATAGCTATGGGCACTCCGAACAATTCCATGTTCAGGTGGGGAGGAATTCAACTGGCTATTCAAACGGTGTAACAACTTACAGACAGTACATAAGAAAAGATCCACTGTTTCGGTAAGGTTATCAAGAGTGTACCTTGTTAGTATCAGCAACACTGTTTTGTCGGGCATCAAAGATGATAAGTTTGTGAGACTGTGCATTAGCGTCCATTATTGTTTGCAAGTATTTTTCATCTTCTTTGCAGCGTTTATCATTGGGACCCACAAGTGGCTGGCTGCAACGGGTAATCGTTGCCTGACTTTCTGGATGAATCCATGACAACACCTAGTGTTTGTAAGCAACAAATGTTAGTACAGTTCCTAAAACAGTATGTGCCTTAATTATCAGGTAGGAGAAACAAGTCCTCTTCTCAAGCACAGCTTCTTCTGCATCTTGTTCCTCAACGGTCAGAGGGTCAGCCCAATCACAGGAGGACGGTGGCCATGAAACTCAATCTTTGGGTCCCATTGAAAGAAGTCTGACTAGTTGAGCTCTAAAAACCCCTTCCACCTCTAAAATTCTTTGATTCTAAGAAAAACAGAAACTAAGTCAAACTATTACTAACATCGAGCCCATTCCTATTTGATTGACTAGTTTTATTTTGTCTCCTAATTTAAAAACATCTTTGTATCTCAACAGTGACCTATATGGCAGGGCAAGGCCAAGGTGAACATAGAGTGTCTTATAAAATCGAAAGCTATGCCCTCAAACCTCCCATTTTCCTCCAGTGGCCAGGAGCCTCAGGATTGTACCAGACCGCAATCTGCAGGCTCAGAAACGTTCACCCCCTGCTTGCCTGCAGTGATACTATCACAGGTGTATACATATGTCCAAACGCATCAAATTGTATACATTAAACACATGCAGTTTTTGGTATTTCAATTACACCTCACTAAAGCTGGTTGAAAAAATCCCCCCTGCCGGTTGCTATGTTTGTTTTTGTAATAGTGTCCCTGCCATGCAGCTGTAGCATTCCACTCAGCATCTAAGAAAGAGTGTAGGGGCCGGCCCGGTGGCAGAGTGGTTACGTTCACACGTTCCGCTTCTGGGCGGCCCGGGGTTCACTGGTTTGAATCCCAGGTGCGGACATGGCACCCCTTGGCATGCCATGCTGTGGTAGGCGTCCCACATATGAAGTAGAGGAAGGTGGGCACGGATGTTAGCTCAGGGCCAGGCTTCCTTAGCAAAAAAGAGGAGGACTGGCAGTAGTTAGCTCAGGGCCAATCTTCCTCAAAAAAAAAGAAAGAAAGAAAGAGTGTATTTTCTCTAGGATGATTCGGTGAAACCAGTGACATGAACTGTTAATGCAACAGCATGCTAACTCTTTCTTGCTACTCCTCTGTTATTCTCTACTACATTTTGAGAGCATAACTGAAGTTACCCTTGTACTTAGTAACATGAAGTCACACAAGGTGGAGTCACAGCAAACAATGTTGATATAATCAGGTAATTCTTGAGAAGCAAAGATACGTTCAGGTTTTCAGGTTTTATTTTTCTACTTTCCATTTTGTTCACTAGATTTTTTTTCTGCCTTGCTTCTTTCCATATTAGATCTAATACAGTATATGTTTATACCTAAAGGACAATGCTTATTACTTACAGGGACTCTGCCTTTTGCTCGAAAGGCTGCCACTTTTGAAAGGTCATCATCTTTCACACTAGTTGGCACAACAATGATGGCAGGGTAGGTGTCACAGAGCTCATAATTACTGTTTACTTTGGATATTTTCCAACTCTCATTTGGCAAGCCCTGCAGGGTGTTAGAGAAGAAAGAAGAGTGGGAAAAGCATACTTTTACACTTTCAAAAAGGACCAAGCATGAACCACATCCATTTCTTATTTTCTACTAACATCCACTTATGATTTGTTGTTCATTGCTACTTAAAAGTTTAAGTATATATTTATCTATATCCTGCCCATTTAAAAAAATCTAATGAAGCATAATAATTTCTAAACATACTAAAAAATGAAAATTATATACTAGAATCCAAGTCCTACACATTTCTTGTGTTTTCTATAAAGAATGAGCATAGTGTTGTTTTTGAAAATACCCATGAAAGTCCTTTAGAGACAAAGAAACTTCTTACAATGTCTAAAATAAGTAATATAAATCACCATACCAAATATCTTTGTAGAGACAAAGATGAAATGTCATGAAAATAATATCTTATTGGAATGTCTTGAATTTGACAATACACTAAAGAGCTTCTCGGTATAGGAACACCACATCAGACTGATGAGTCATGGCATATACAGTCGTCCCTTGGTATCAGCGGGGATGGTTCCAGGCCCCCCAGATGCCAAAATCCGTGGATGCTCAAGTCCCTTAGATAAAATGGTGTAGTATTTGCATATAACCTATGCACATCCTCCCGTATGCTTTAAATCATCTCTAGATTACTTACAATACCTAATACAATGGAAAGGTGGAAAGGCTGTAGAAATAGTTGTTACACTGTATTGTTTAGGGAATAATGACAGGAAAAGTCTGCAGATGCCCAGTACAGACACAACCCTCACAGGCCTTGTGATCTGTAGTAGAATCCGCTGATGTGGAGCCTGCGGGTACAGAGGGCCGACTAGACTTGAAATCTCACTGAAGCCATTGGTTTTGCTCCTTACCCATCAACTCATTAGCAGAACATCTAATAAAAGCCATCTGGCCGATCTGCCTTTTAAAGCTGTCTTGTACTCCACTTGCCCCGTGGAAAAGGGCGACCGATCAGCGGCACAGTCAAAAGTTTGGCAGAGGGAGAACGGGGCGGCCCGGAGATGAGGAGCACACGAGCTAGGTAAGTCACACCTATGCACAACTTGTTTCCAAAGGCTTCTTCTCCACCACATTTTCTAATCTTTTAGAAAGAAAAAGATGCTCAATCTATCATTTTCAGTTAGATAAGCAACATACTTTACCTGTCTCTTATATTCAGATACTGGATCATAAACTTTCCATCCATTAATTGGAAATTTCTCTTTATAGTTGAATGCAAAGAGTGCCTGCATACAAAAAACCACAAAATATATGTCAGTACTTCCTTACTATGTCACATTCCCAACATTAAAGCTTTTCATTCAATTATCAGCTGAATGTATTAAGATTCCTATTTTAATCTGTAAATTTTGAAGCAACAGGCAGTTTTCTTAAACGTTACACGCTGACAAATTTTTAATATTCTAATATTAGTTACCAACAGAGAGAAAAGAGATAAAGGAAACCTCTGGAAAAAGAATTATTAAACATGAAATTTTTGGACCCCCACAAAAGCATGCAAAAAAGGCTTATTTTGGTGTACCTACCTGTCCGTTGGAAAGAGGAAATGCATGTTTGGTGAGGTTTTCAAATATCCCCAGTTTACTCTGTTCTTCCTGTTTATAAGCCAGTCGCAAGTTCCTCATATCCTGTTAAACAATTAGCAAACCTCATTTGTTCAACGTGTATTGAGTACCTACAAGGCAGACACTATGCTATAAGGAGATAAGTAAAATATTTTTATTCATTTCTCACGTTCTACACTATCTTGCTCCAACTAACAAAAACACCTCCAACAAGATAAAAAAATTAAGTGAGGAAATTGGAACAAAGGAGATGTGCTGGGAAAAAAACTCATCAGATGGAACCAAGAGTAAGGTTAATCCATGAAAGACGTGCCATCAAGTCCTGCGCACTCACTTGCTAAAGGTGTGCCACAGAATCCACTGTGAACTTTAGACTGCCGGATTTGTCCAGTACAGGTTTCACACCAGCCATAAAATAGCAATGTGACAGAGGTGTCTCCCCTGTCCTCACAGCAAGGACTCTGTATCACGCAGCGACTACGGCTCTCAGTGACCCCCTTACAGAAACTAGAATGCTGCTTCCCAGGAGCACAGTTCCCAAGCACGGCCGCAGCGCACGTGGGCAGGAGTGATCCCAGGGAGGTGGCTCTGACGGGGCGCCCTCTTCCCGGGACTGGTGGTGCCCCCGACCGGGTTAAACTTCTGCCGTTAGTTAAGCACAACAATCTCATTCTTCTTTAACATTACATGAAACTTGAAAGTAAATATGACCACAAACAAATTAAAGCAAGAGCAATTTGGGAAGTGAGGAAGTTACTGTGGTGATATTATCTGTAACAGCGAAAGAATGGAAAGAGCCTTAATGTCCATCAACAGGAGCTGGCTAAACGACTACAGGACAGCTAATGGAATACTAAAGAGCTGTTAAAACAAGCAGCAGCTCTTTCTGCACTGATGCCAAGGAGCTCCAAGAAACACTGTTAAGGGGAAAACAAAGGGGCAGAACAGTCTCTAAAATACACAACCATTTACATTTTCCAAGACTGTACCCACGTGCTTACATGCACAGGGTGTGTGTGGAAACTGGGGACAGTGGGTGCCTGCAGGGGGTGGGACAGGGTGGCTGGGGTTGGATGGAGGGAGATTTACTTTTTTCTCCACACAGTTTTTGTGCCTTTTGAATTGTATATCATCTGATTTAAAAAAACAAACCCCATACCTTGCAAGGCTCCCAGGCACGAGCTGAGAGGGCTGGGAGCATAGCCCTAGTATTCTGGAAAACATTTTAAAGCAGCTATTAGCCAATGTTCACCCCAGCCATAAAATTATCTTAGTAAAAGAGCCACAGGACACCAGCCTAAGTGACATAACTTCCTGGTACACCCTCCCTCCAAGCTACACTGGCTACACACGTACACCTTAGGAGCTGACTGATCTGGCTTGCTATTTAGGATCGCTTGGAGAGCAAAGCATCACAAGCAAAGGAAAGAGCACATGTCAAGTCCCACAGAGAGAGAGCGAGAGAGCGAGAGAGCGAGAGAGCGAGAGAGCGAGAGAGCGCGCGCGCGAGAGAGAGAGAGAGAGAGAGAGAGAGGGAGAGTGTGTCTGTGTGTGTGTGTCTGTGTGTGTCTGTGAGGGGGCATGGTACCAGGCAAGCGCAAGCAACTAAAGGAACTGGAATAGCAAGAATGAGGGGAGGGTGGCTGGAGATGACGCTGCAGAGGAAAGTAAGCCAGGCTCACACAGCGCGGTCTGGGTGAGGAGTTTCCCTCCAGCCTAAGGATGATGGGAAGCCACTGAAGAGTTCTCAGTAGGGAAACGACAGTACCGTCAAATCGCTCTCTGCTTTAAGTCCTGCAACTGCTTAGCACTGCTTCACATGTGGGACCCTGGCCTGAGAAGGACAACTACAATTTGCCAAAGGAGAGCACTGCCATGGAGCACCCAAAGCGAGTCTCACAAGCCAGCAGGTTCATGATCTGGAAGAGTAAAGCGTTCTCTGAAAAAGTGGATTCAGCTGTAGTGTAGGGCTGACCAGAGGAAGTTGTCCTCAGAGGCTTGATTAAAGCAAACAGAAGGGCAGGACCCAAACCCCAAACCAGGAAGGGAAGTTGACAATCCTGCAAGCAGGCTCTCTTCCCTGGTACCCCGGTTAGGGTTGTGAATAAACTGTATTCCATGAGGGAAAGTCATGGGGAAGAAAACATCAGTTAAGGTGTTTCTTAAATGACTGGTCATCACTAAAATTATCACACACATCTCTCCTTAACCCGCTGCAGGAAGGGTACAAAACCAAAAATAAGCACAGCTCAGGAGAAAATTCCAACATAGCCAAGAAACTTAATTGTGTTTTAATCACAGAATTTATGAATATTGTTGTCCCTTTAGGAAGCCTTTGACCATCCACTGTTCTGAAGGTAGTCTTAAAATTACAAACTAGAAAAAATCTTGCTCTCTGCTTTCCATTTGATTTCTCTGAAACGTAACAAATAATGTCAGCACTTAGGATAGAGGTCCATGTTAATTAGAATGCTTCAATGGGAAAGAAGAGGTTCACTTCAGTGGCTTACATAGTGGTAGGAATTGGTTGATGTAAGATCCGAAGAGGTCTCTGTCCTGAAAACATTTGAGTTCCTAAGAGCCCGAATTACCCTGACCGTCCAAGGACCATGAAGAACGCGCCTTCTGAAAGAGTTCCCAGCTGCCTGCCCCTCAGTCCCACTTGTGTTTGTACTGTACCTTGCACACGATCTCTATACCACAAGAATTGTCCCCGTGGCTCTGCGCGCCAATCTTCTCAACTCTGCTGATCACTCCCAGGGGAACATCAAGGACGAAATGCGGGTCCTGGTTTTACAAATTAAGATGAATGCCTATCAGTGTCAGTCCACAGAGTTTTCATATGGTAAGTCTTTGCTGGCTTAAAACACGTTTGTTTACTTCACATTTCCTCTTTGTCGCAGCTAAGAAACTGCAGTCTGGTTTAACCGTGCTTTATGAAGCAGGCATGGGACTAGAGCACAACTCCCCTCGGGGCTAAGCGCTACTCTCACGGCCTTTTTGTCAAGATACAAAATCTGTTTGCAAATGTGTGCATCTTAAAACTCACCCTCGGCTTGTCTCAGCGTGATGGGATTTCGTGGTACTTTTTACTTTCTTCTTTATTGTTTCCTTTCTGCTAAAGTGTTTTTAAAAATAAAACACCCTTTTAAAAACTCACCCTCTCTACATTTTTGAAGTACATCTTGAAGTCAGTCACTGTCAGGGTTCCACTCACTGCTCCCATAAATGGGCAGATATACATGACGTCTTTCACTGAAAGAAAAAACCCAAAGCAGCGACTGCCGTTGACTTGTGTTTTAATACATCTTAACACGAATTTCCAAATATATATATCTGTAATTCCAGTTTTCTAGGAATTTTGTTTTTTACTTTAAATAAAGACATAGATGGATAGTCTTCTAAAAAAATTCTACTTTTAAAACAAGATTCTGATTTGCTACTTAATGAGATTTTAAGTAAAGAGCTTCATAATAAGTTAGTTTGTTATTTTTTCCAGGTGGTTAACATTTTCCTTGAGTGATAAATTAATCACGTGCAAAAACACATTTAAACTCTGAAGACCCTGGGCTGCCATTTCATAAATTACTGCTAATGAAAACACTGTCCCCGATGCATGCCCAAAGGAAACTGTTTTACAGATGACAAAAACTAGAACCCTACCAATGAAGTGGAAAAAGGCTTCATTGCGGCTTCCATATCAATTTTTATTTTCTTATTATTAATATCAATACCAACATATTTAGTATATATATCAACAACATATTTGATTCCTACGAGTGTTAAGAAGCTCACTCCTATCACAAAGATACCACATCTTCACAATCTTCCCCAAGTGCCATTCTATTGAAACGATAGGAACATACATAGCTACAGATGAGTTCGAGTGGGATAATTGAAAGTACTAAAAATGTCATTCAGCCAAATTCTCAAAACACTTCCATTAAACTTTTCTATAACTATATATAAATTTATCTATCTATAAATTTCTATAATGTACCAAGCGGCCTCTATCGTTGGGGTTCTAGGCATAAGTGGACACAGTTCCTGCCCACAAGCAGCCCGTGACCTATGAGAGACGCTACACAGAAACTTACCATTACACCATAGCCTGATAAATGCTATCATAACCCTGTGGACACGCTGTGATAAGAGCTCAGAAAAGGATCGACTTAACTCAGCGTGGAAGCAGTGAGGGAGGGGGAGAAGTGAGGGAGGAAGGAGAGGTCAGCAAGTTGCCGGAGGTTAGTGTAGGTGGATCGGAGGCTGCAAAGGATGATGGGGCATGAGGCCAGAGAAGATCTGTTCAGAACGTTTATGGCAGTTTTATATGTAGAATCCAAACAGTAGAAACAACCCAAATATCCATTAATAGATGAATGGCTAAGCAAACTGTGGTGTATCCAGAGAACGGAACACTGTTCAGCAATAATAAGAAATGACCGTTGACCCATGCCACAATATGGATGAATATCAAAATAATTACGCTGAGTGGAAGAAGCTAGACAAAAGAAGAACAGACTCGATGATTACACTTCCACAGAACTCTGGAAAATACAAACTAGTCTTTAGTGATCGGGGATGGGGGAGAAGGCACAGGAAGAAGGGAATATAAAGAGGCCTAAGGAAACTTCTGGGGGCTGATGGATATGTTCATTATCTTGATTCTGATGATGGTCTCCCAGCTGTATAATGTGTCAAAACTCTTCACATTCACTTTAAATCTGTGTAGTTTGTTTTCTGGAGAAGAAGCAGAGGCATGACATAATTAGCTCTGAATTTTAATCAGATCATTCCCAAAGCAGCATGGAGGAGCGCTGGAAGAACTCCCAGAAAAAGACAGCCAGAGAGGTCAGAGGACCACCAGGAGTGAATGAAGTTCCAGAAGCCAAAAAGAGAAAGAGTCTCAAAGCCCAGGTGAGGATGAGCGGGGTCCAGAGCCAGGGACCAGGATATTAAGTAGGAGCAGTTGTTTGGAGGCCCTGGTAGGAGAGCCCAGCTCCTCAAATGTGCCTGACACAAGATGACCGTACTCCACAACGGAGCACACATCTCCAGGAGGGACCTCCGAGGGAAGAAGGCAACACTCAGCCTAGCAAACCAGACTGTCCAACCCGACCTTGGCCATTGTGAGGTGAAAAGCTCGCACCCAGCTGCCCTCCTGTCCACCCATGGCACAATGGAAGCCAGGGTGGCAACACATGCCCTTTTCTTACACTAAAATAGTACTTTCTGGAATCTTATAAGCCACTAAAATTTCTTTGCCAAGTTCTCAAACTTGTTATTAAAATATGATCTAGATCTTCTATCAATACGTTTTCCTTATAGTGAAGGATTCCCACAAAGCAGTGAACTGACATTACGGTGTCTAATCAGCCTTCAGTTCGTCAGGAAAGGCGAGCACTTCTTCTCTAGGTAACACCATCTAATACTCAGTCGGAGCTTGAAGTGATCTTCTATAGTCGCCTCTCTCTTAAGGTCCTGATAACATTAATGAGAATGAATAGGCCTAGTCCATTGTCCTCTAATTCAATTGGTCTGGCTGATCCCCAGCACATACATCACCTGTGTTCACAAGTAAAGTGCCATTTCATTTCATGGATCTCTATAAGCAAAGTGTGCTCATTAAACTTACCAATGGCCTTGATCGACTCTCCTGGAAAAAGTGGTGCTTCTTCCATCTGTGCCAGCTTATTTCCATCCCTTAGAGCCTGGCAAAAACCAAACAGGAGTAAATCTCACTTTCCATCTGCATACCTTGGAAGAATTGTGGTGTTCTGTGCTCTTGCCACAAGGCTACAGAAGCGTGCAAAATGTACGACCCCCTCCCCTTACAAGACAATTTCAAAGCTCAGCATCACAGGACACCATGCTGCATATTCTAGCAAATTGTTACACATAGTTAAAATTCACAGTTAGAAAGCATTAATACAGAAATGGCTTGACATGACAGATACTGTAATCACTACACAGACAGCTATTATAAGGTGCCTCCAGAATTTGGAAATAAAGTCAAGAAAAAGGTTACCTGCTGAGCATGAAACTAATACAAGCAAAATCAACATTACATGTAGGTGCTTAGCTAGCTGTACGTAGAAATGGCCTAGCCTATGAGATAGCGGGGGAAACCCCGAAATCTAATTAAAGTAACCTCGGAGGGGTCTCAGGGCAGTAACACGTGGAAGGAAAGCCCTAGGGAGCCGCAGCCCAGCTCCCTGTGTTTGCACAAAGCAGGGGAGGGGAGACATGGTGAGTGGGCTTGTCAGGGTGTATCCCATCCAGACCACAGGAGTGCGCCCTCATCTGGCAGACAAGAGTATTTCAATCACTGTAGAGCAGACTGTGTTCACCAGGCTTCTCCCAAGCCAGCCAATTCACCCTTGGCTGATTCTACCCTCACCAAGTAAACCGCTAATGAGGTATCAGGTTTCCTGGCTACAGTGGTACCAGGAAAAGGATGTCTTGGATGACTAGAAAGATACATGCCCACAGTTGTAAATGTCCACATTGGCCCTGCAGCCCAGTAGGCAGCCTTGTAAGCTTGGTTGGACAGCGCGAGATAACTCAAGGGGGTTGAGAAAATGGTGTTCTTGAACTACAAAGTTGGGGACCAGAGCCTGATCTCAGGGCCTATTCCAAGGTACTGACACCTTGTGAGATGCTGCCAAGGAAACGTCACTTTCTCCTTGGCATCTCTGACATAATGTGTCGCAAATAAGAATAAGGTATTCAAAACCTCAGCAATTCCCAAGCTGTGGTTCACAGAGCATCAAATTTCCAAGAGATGTGAATAGGTCTTTTTTTTTCAAGTTTAGGAAATGCTGGGTCAAAGAAAACAAGTTAAACTGGTTTTTTTTAGTGTCAAGTCTTTAGCGTGTTAATGTACGCCGAATCTGCAAGAGGGCACTAGAGGATGCTGCATATCCCGTACCTAGGTGATCAGGGGCTGCTTTCTCCAAGACACCTGTTAACATTGGGAGGCCAGCAGCGTTCAGCCGGAGACAGGTTGGACAATACTAAATTTTCAGCATAATTTTTTGTGAAGCAAAATATTAAAAATGACTATCTTTTATAATTCCAATATAAGTTACTCAAATTCAAAATAATCATTTTTCATAGTTATAAGAATGTTTCAATATGTTTTATTAAAGGGACTTACAGGTCAATTCAAAAACACTATACATAGTTTCATCAAATTTTATAAAATAGAGGAAAAAAGTCAGAATATAAAGAGAAAATTCAATGCTAAATGTTGGTCTAGGTATGTCTGTTCCAGGGGGAGAGCACAAAATGACGAGGTCCATCCTCCTCCTTATGACGATACATGGTTAAAATAATACAGATTAGGGATTACTGTTACCTCCAACAATTTTATTCAGTTTGAATTTTCAGTCCAGATTGGTTTTTAAGATACTTTTCAGCCAGAATTTTTAGGGACATGGAGAACCGTTAATAGAGTCATTTTTATACTCACATCTGATTTGGAAATATACCTTTTATGTAATAAAGCATAAACCAATATTTATACTTTTAAATGTCCAGTTTTAGAAACACTAACAAAATCACCAATCCTAATAGAAGCCTTAATTTGAAAGTCTGCTTTTTTTGGTGAGAAAGATTGGCCCTGAGCTAACATCTGTGGCAATCTTTCTCTATTTTGTATGTGGGACGCTGCCACAGCATGGCTTGATGAGTGGCATGTAGGTCTGCACCTGGGATCTGAATCCGCGAACCCAGGCCGCTGAAGCAGAGCACGTAAACTTAACCACTATGCCACGGGGCCAGGCCCCCATGCTTTAATTTATTGCCTGAACTAGTGACATTTTACAATGTGGTTACAAAGTGAGAAAGCTATTTTAATCAATATCCAAGTTTCAAATTACTTCAAATGTTACATTGTTAAAGCTTACTTTAATGGCTAAATATTCTCATATATTATATAGACAAATTCATTAACTTATATTTAAAAATAAATGGGGACAGGTTATTTTGAAACATATTTACTAAAGCAAGCTGTTCTATTCATCTGACTCTGGAAGGTGTGGGGGGAAGGCGATTGACTTTAAGGTTTACAGCAAGGCCACATCAAACATTTTAAAGTCCTCAACTGAGGACTAGCTGATAAAATGCTGCAGACGGGAGACAGCGCTGATCGGGACCATTCTGAGAAGGCACAAGGCTCTCAAGGTGGAGGGTGAAGACATCTTGTCTCTTCTGAGAGTCCCATTAAATTTAGCTTGAAACACCTGCGCATTTACAATGGACATGAATGTGGGGGTGAGACAAACCTCTCACTAATAATAATTAAATCTGGGACACGCTTTTTAAGTGATGAAAAAGCAGTATCAGAACAAAACAAATAAATGATCCCACTGCTTCAGATTTCCCCATGAAAGGTTTATTTTGTACAGGATACACATTGATTGTGTACAGGAACCCCCCCCCACCCCGGTTTAGCATAGGAATTCAAGAGGAGAAGAGTTCTTAAAGGCTCATTGTCTTGTGAGGACAGTAGATTCCCTTTACAAAGCTGGTGTTAGGAGATGGGACTTATACTCCTGCTATATTAAGCTTTGACTGCAACTACCAAGTTGCACAGGACATGATTTGACCCTTGATTTATCCAACCCATGTCCAGCATAATCAAAGAACGGAATATTCTTGTGAATGGAATTTGATCTCATGAACACGCCCACTCCTCTTAGTGCCTTTGCTCCATGTGTTCCCCAGTTGAGGAATTCCCTCGGATGATCTCGTGCAAAGCCTGTCCGGTGACCCTGAAGGTCCAGCTGCAGGCCCACCTGCTCCCTGCACTTGTCCCCGAGGGCTCCAGCGCAGCGGCCGGCCTGGCCTCTCCAGTACTTCACTGTTCATCCGGAATCCAAACTGATAGGGGGACAGTTTCTGTAACGGCTGCAGGCCGAAAGCAGTCATTTGCAAACTGGGCTCTTCGAGGTGCTTCCAGGGTCACCAAAGGAGGGTGGGCTGGACAAAGGCACAGCTGAGCATGGCAGGGGTGGGGGTGAGGGGGCAGCCATGCTTCCCTGGAGCTGCTCTTCTAGCAGTTTCACAGAGTGAGTTTCTACATAAGCTTTGGGGAAAGTTCCGCTGCTTTAAGACTCCAGAGAGTCTAGGGGTACTGAGCAAAGAGTAAGCACTCAAGAATAATCAACGAAGGACTGTTTGCTTCTGATTAACAAATACAAACTGTATGGACTCATTCCACAAATACCCACAAGGTACCAGGTACTGTGCTGGGCATGGACCACGCAAATTGGAATAAAGCCAGGTCTGCACCCTCAAGGAGCTCCCTTAGCGTATACATCTGTCCCCTCTAAGTCTCTGTAAAGGCATTTCAGAAGCCTGTCGTGACTGAGGCTCACTACCTCATCAATAACCCGATCTGGGAAAACTGAGAGCACAGACGAACCAATTTCTGGTTGACAAACTGTTGGATAAACCAATTTTTGCAAATAATGTCATAATGGAATCTACCAAAGTGGGAGAGGAAGGCACTACTGTAGTGGTAAAAGCATTTGCTTATCATCTAGAAATCTAGTATGAAATGGCTTCTAAATACACGATCTGTAGCTACAAACAGATGAACACGTAGAACTCGCCACCTGATCAGCTTCAGCTTCAGAAGGGTAGCCATTGTGTTCTTCCTGAATCTCCTGCACAGCACCAGGGGCATGGACAAGAAAAGGCAGAGAGGAGAGAGAGAAACACGTGCAAACAGACAGGTGAAAGGACAGAAGTTCTTTTTTAAAGAGACAGTAAGCATGTAAAAGTCGACACACCTTTCATGGCTTTGCAAATCACAGTATTTTCCCCCTTGGAGTAAAGGAAATAATGTGTAGGCCATCTATAGCATCCTCAGCCTAAAATGGAGTTATCTATTCTGTGTTTGTCGTGGGGCAGAAAAATGAAAAGCAAACATCATGGATTTCAAAGAATGTACTGTCTTTTTAAAATCAAGCAATACTATAGCTTATAGCAAAGAAATAAAATAACAGAGGCATAAAATGCTCACAGAAAATAAAGCATACCACAAAAAAAAAACAGATAAAGGGCAAAACCAAGCCAAAATTCAACGGCAGTTCATAGACATGTATTTTAAACACAGAAAGTATTCATGTACTCTAAAGAACTATCATATTGTCCAGTGGTCAACTCTACAGCTATTAACAAAATTTCCACCCACATGCACATGCACATAGCACATGCCGGAAATATACATATACCTACATATGCATAGACCTACATGTACATATAATCTGTTACTTATTGCTAATTAAGTAGTGTGATTTATGAATCAATACCATATTAAATATTTCTAATTACAGTATCAACATGCTTCAAAGAAACAGCTAAAAGGTCACATATCATTAGTCAAATTTTTTCCGATTCCTTTAAAAGTATACTGTTCTTAATTTCTTCATAGACTCAATTAGGTTTTGAAACTTTAAAAATTTGACTTTTAGTTCAACAGGTGGTATAAAGAATATGAATAGTGAAGATGACAAGATTATAACCCCTTTTAAAGTTGTATCAAGTCTCTGAGCCTGAAAACATTAAAATTTACCACAGATATACTTTTCCTTTATGAAACTTTGGTTCCAATGACTAGATTTCTTTAAAAGGCAGTCAGTGAAGAAGTAGCAAAGCTTTAAAAGAATTTACTATTTTTTTTTAAAGATTTTATTTTTTCCTTTTTCTCCCCAAAGCCCCCCGGTACACAGTTGTATATTCTTCGTTGTGGGTCCTTCTAGTTGTGGCATGTGGGATGCCGCCTCAGCGTGGTCTGATGAGCAGTGCCATGTCCGCGCCAGGATTCGAACCAACGAAACACTGGGCCGCCTGCAGCGGAGCGCACAAACTTAACCACTCGGCCACGGGGCCAGCCCCAGAATTTACTATTTCTGACCCTTCATTTTTGTCAAAAGTAAAAGAGCTACTTAACGTATTTTTAGACTTTATCATCGGATTGAATTTAGTAAACAGTTGGTACTGTTACCCTTCAAAGAAGGGTGTTTTTTTAAATGCAGCTAGTTTTTTGAAATTTCCACTTTTTTAAATACAAAGAAAATGGAGTCATTCTTTGATAAAATTTTTAAAAACAGAAAAATGACTAAACAACAAAAACACACAGCATTTCAAAGTCCATGCAAGTAGAAGGCCAAACACTAATATTTAACAATGTGAATCAGTGAATGAAAATGATTCCCCTGAGCAAAAGAAAACATGGTGAAAACAAGATTAAACAAAGATAAACCAACTAGAATAACAAGAATTTGACTTAACCTGCTTATTTTTGTACTACTTCACTGGCTCAATAACATTAAAACTTTAAAACTGAAGTCACTAAATTATTCTATCGAAATCCACATTGTTTTCATTTAATGGAAATAGGTTAATTTTCAGCATCTGACACTCAGGTTTAAATGCATGCACATTACCAATCTTTGTCTTGATTTATGAATGTTCTGAAATAAAGGGAAGGAAAGTCGTGAGGAAAATATAAGCTATACCCCATTCGCAACAGCTACATCTGTATTTTAAGAAACACTAAATGGGACTGACTTTGCTAAATTTATCTTCAAGATTTGCATTTCTGCTTTTGGGATTCAGCATGCACACACAAAGGTGACTTCAAGTCTTACTGAGACGGATGGACAACAACTGACTGCTTTGTTGCTGTTGCTAAGGTCTTTAGCATGAATTACATGATAAACAAGGTCAAAAGAGGACTCTGTGGGCCTAGCCCTCTAAGCCCCTGCCACGAATATCCATTTGGTCAGAATTCACGGAACACAACAAAAGTCAGTATTGCACACTGGTAACAATTTTAGCATCCTGCCCTCACAGACAGTGGCTTTTATTGCACACAAAAACATTGTAACAAATAAAGCGTTTCTAGTGAACACTTACAGCTATGACACAGCAGAGCAAATTGATCTGAGTGGCTCATAAAAACCAGTGAGAAGGCAAAGAACACTAAATAGACTAAGTGTTCGATAAGCACAGAGACACACAAGGAGGAGGCCCATCTGCTGACAGCCAAATATCCTTACCCTTATATCAGGCCTCCTGAAAACCTGTTAGTTAAAACACAGAACATCATCATCATGGACACGTTACTATTGACCTGTGAAAGATGCCATTAAGTCAACCAGCCCACTCCCTAAGAAACATCATCCTCCTCTAAATAAAACCAACCAGATCAATCGTAACACATTTGCCCTCTAAGTTTCATTCAATATCAAATCAATCCTAACACATTTGTCCTAAATTTTTAGGCAAGTCTATGATTTGAGAAAATTTTATTGCCCTTAGGCTAAGACAAACTACAGTATTTTAAACACAAACCCCTTCTGTCAAGTGCTATTACAAGCCACTGTGAACAGGCTGTGTTTGAAAAGTTCATTTGTGTGTCTGTTTGGAATACTGAATGCATTCTCCATAGAAACAATGAGATAAAAAGGCGGTTCTGCTCCCAAACCAGCCCACAGAAACAAAACAAAAATGAACCAAAAAACCACAAAAGCTCCCACATTTGACCCAGAGCACAGCTCAGCTATAGCCTTAACAGTATCATAAAACGTAGTTAACCACAAATCTTAACCTGGTTTCCACAGAAATTATATTCCCAACTTGCATTTGGGACTCTGGAAGAATTAAACTCCCCGGTAGACGCGGCCATCCCACCAAGAGAAGGATGCCTGTCCTGCCCCCAGCCCCCGCTGCATGGGGAAGGGGCAGCTGGCCAGGCTGGGAGGGCTGGGGAGGAGAGCGGAGGCCCGCGCTGCCTGGTGCCAGGGGCAGCCACGCTTTATTAAATTGGGCCACTGATTTCAGCGACATTATTCCTCCACCCCTGGCCCGTGAATCCTACTAGAACATGCAGCATATGCATTCGGGAAGCCCTGGTCAGAGGAAACGCCCCAGAAAAGCAAATAGTGGTAACAGCCTGAGCAAGACTTGAATCGCCTGTTCTCCATTCCACAGTCTGAAATCCTCTCATCTAACCACTGGATGTGCTATAAGAAACAGCACTACCAAAAAAAATCACCAGAGGCTCTTAGTAGTTTTAGAGTTTTATAGGTCCAAAGATACAGACTTCAAAAAGTATCACTGTATCAGCACTGAAAGAAAATACTACTTAAAGTAAAAATGGTGTTCTGAATTAGGTGATCTGTAGCTCAAAGAGATTTAAAGCCCATGAGTTCCTAAATATAGACTATCTAGACTAAGAAGCTTAAACCTGGCTTTTTTTTTGGTGGGGAGGTGATAGATAGGTTTATCATCTTAATTGTGGAGATAATTTCACAAGTGTGTACCTATCAAAACTTATCAAATTGTATACTTTAAATATGTGAAGTTTATCATTCATTAATTACACCACAAGAAAGTTAGTACAAAATAAGTAAAATACACACTTTGTTAATAAAAAACTCAAAATGGGGCATATATGGCAACAAAAGCTCAAAATAGAAAGGAAGTCCCCCTCCACGAGCTCCATTCCTCAGTGACACACGTTTCACCAGACCTATTTCTAATCCAGAGGAAATATGGCTACACCTCTACGTCATGACTTGTCAACCTTAAACAGTAGCTAGTGACCTCCAACTCTAAAAGATGAGAAAATAAGCTTTCTCAAACTACTACCTCCCTCTCCCCAATCTCTGCTGACTGAAATTTTAGTTTTTAGTTTTTATTATCTTCCTTCAGCAGCTGCTTAATCACAAGAAAAATACTCATGAAATGATTTTTAGGTGCCACATGCTCTTCTAAGCACTTTGTATATATTAACTCATTTTATTCTCAGAACAACCTTGCGAGAGAAAAACTATTATTGGCCCCATTTTCTGATGAGAAAACCAAGGCACAGTTCAAGATGGCAGGGCAAATATTTCAACCCGGGTAGTCCGCTATACTGCCTCAGCGTTGTGTGGCTATAATTCACACACTTAAACCACAGCCCTCAAATGTACAGCCCATTTCTCTTGGCTCCCTTTGGGTTGACGAAGAAATCAACACCACTGCCTCTTCCCTCGCTTCCCCTCTCTACTTCCAAACCTCTGCTGTAGCATGCTATTTTTTTTCACATTTGTTCTGTCACTACAATTAATTTTTTGGCACTTTGTCTGGAAAGTGATAGTAACAAATTGTAAACTAAAAATCAGCATTCACAAGTAGTGTAATTGGGCCTTATACAGAGGAGACGCACCACCGTCAATAAGCCTTTGCAACTGGAAGGAGAAACTAACTCCAACGTTTGGAAAGGGCTAGGATGATAATCTGCTTTGAAGCTCACATAACTCTTTACCTGTTGTAATAAAATCCTTGTTGTTGTTGTTGTTTTTGGTGAGGAAGACTGGCCGTGAGCTAACATCTGTGCCAATCTTCCTCTATTTTGTATTGTGGGTCGCCACTACAGAATGGCTGGTGACAAGTCGTGTTGGTCCACATCTGGGATCCAAACCTGTGAACCCAGGCCACTGAAGTGGAGCGCACTGCACTTAACCACTATGCCAGTGGGCCAGCCCCCAAATCCTCAGTATTCTTAGTATGAGACCAGGAAGGTCAGTAGGAGGCTCACTTGACAGTCTCCAAGTTGATACCCATGTATTTCTCTCTGGTTTACTTTACATCTCTCCTGAAATAAGCCATTTCAGGCACAGAGAGAGGGTCATTCTATTCTTAAATCTGATTCTGATCAGAGCCAGAGAGGAGAACAGCGGTTTTAAGTCTGGAGGCCTGGGGCCAGCTCTCACCAGCCAATTTAGGGCCCCCTCATGGCTGCACTGGGCCTTGGTTTCACGAAAGGAAAGGAGCCTGGGGAATGACTGCAGGGTCCTGACCAGCTCTAAGACCCCAGGAGTCGTTTTGCTAAGCCTCATTGGAAGACTTCAGAAAACATCTCCCCCACCGAGGCTGGGGGAGGCAAACGGGCCTCTGGGTGGCTAAAAGAAGGCACCCCAGAGTTAAATGCTCCTGCAGCACTTACAGGCCAAGAGCCCTCCGAGGAGCCCCACAGGCCCCCTGCCCCACCGCGGAGCTTAGCCTCCTCCTCTCTCCAGCGGTCCTGCTGAGCACACCTTCATGGCAGGCTGTCAGGAGGGTTAATCGGGTAGGCGAACTGTACCGGGCAGGGGGGTAAGTGCGCACGAAGAGGGACTTGCTAGACTCAGCACTGATAGGTAACCTTTTTCATTGATGGGTCTCAGCCTCCCCACCTTGCACGGCAACTCTCTTGATCTGTCCCACATCCCCTCTCTCAATTCCTACACACGAGAACCTATGAGAAGGTGCAAACAAGTTAATAATGAATCTTAATCTACCTAACAAAGCAGACTGCCTGAGCATTAACTAAAAATTTACCTGCCTCTAAACGGCTTTCACTAACTCAAGAAAAGCACTGTGAAATGACCCCGGTTTCTGACATAGAGCTCCTAAAAGCCTTGTAAACAGGGGTGCTGGGAGCATCTTTTGTTCTAATATTCGGTCTTTGACTCCAGTTCCCGACACAGCCCTCCTAAAACCCCTGGAAATTCCTGGACGACAGGAGCGTCTTTTGTTCTACTGAGGCGACTCTCAGTGGGCTTCTGGATAGGGGCTGGTCACAGAAAAGACCAAGCCAGGATCAGAAGCTTGGCACTTTCAGCTCCCCTCCCTCATCCACCAGGGAAGGGAGAGGAGCTGGAAAATGAGTTATCAATCACACCTGTGTATTTACGCCTCCTTAAAAATCTCTAAGCTACGGGATTTGGAGGGCTTCTGGGTTGAACACATCCACGTGCCAGGAGGGTGGCGTAGCCCAACTCCACGGGGACAGAAGCTCTTATGCTTGGGACCCTCATAGACCTTGCCCTACGTATCTCTTCACCTGGCTATTCATCTGTGTCCGTCATCCCGCCCTTTAATAAAGTGGTAAATGTGTTTCCCTGAGTTCTATGAGTTGTTCTAGCGAATGATCAAATTCGAGGAGGGGGCTGTGGGAACCCCCGATTTGTAGCCAAGCCGGGCAGAAGTTGTGGGTAACCTGGGGAGCCACTACTTGCGACTAGTGTCTGAAGTGAGAGGCAGCCTTCTGGGACTGAGCCCCTGAGCTGTGGGGCCTGCGCTAACTCTGGGCAGTGTGGGAAATGAACTGCAGGACACAGCTGGTGCTGGAGAATGAGTCGGTGTGGGGAAAACCCACACATCTGGTACCAGAAGTGCTCCACCTTTGGATGAGTGTGTGCAATTCTGGGCCGACTATGGCCTCACACCTAAGCGAGGCCCTCCAAGCCAGCTTTGATCAATTAATAAAGCTGGTATTGTGGTCGAATCTACTTGGCTCCTGTCTTAATTCTTCGGAAGGTAACAGTTGACACCCCTAAATCCCCAACAGCATGAAAGCATTTCAGAAAGTTTTCAAACACAGCCAGTACCAGTAATACAAATACCAACAAGCCCTTGGAGCAGATCCACTCCACGTCAGGCACTGTGCTAAATGCTTTCCGTGTGTTATCTCGACCCTCCCAGCCACGGGCGAAGGAGAGACTTCTATTACCCCATGTGACAAAGGAGGAAGCTGAGGCAGCGAGCGTGAAGTACCTTACCAAGGTCACAGAGGCAGCAATGTGCCGGCTGGTTCGAGCTCCCGTGCTCTTAACCTCGAGAAGGCCCCACCTAAACCTGTTCCCCTTCTGCCAGAGGCTCTCACAGCTTCACGCCCAGAACGCCCTGCTCTGCCTCCTCACTCCTCCCACGCAGCTTGTTTACTGTCTATTTAAACACTCACCACAGCCCAACTTGGACTGTATTTTCTGGTGTCTCTTTCCCCTACTATGAAGTCCGTGCAGCCCAGCCTGGCCCCTTGCACATAACAGGTGCCGAGACGCCATTTTACGGCAGTGGCTCGGTGTTCAGCCATGACAATACCCTCCTCTGGTGTTCGTTTTCACACGTCACAGACATTCCTGTAGAGTAATAGTGTACAGTAAATGGGCACTGTACACATTTGCTACATCTGCTGCCCTATTTACTACATCAATCCCCCCACTGTAACACCCATTAGGCAGACAAGGACACTGAGTCTCAACAGGTTAAG